ATACTGCAGAGGGAGAACGTCAGTGACACAAATACAGTAGAGTATATATCTATATCCGTGAGAGAGTGTCAGTTTGTGTGAGGTTAAGGGCTGGCTCTTGGTGCTAGCCTCATCGAAGCCTACAAGATGACACATGGGCGGAGGAGCCGTGGGGGTTATCTTGAAAGGATTTCAGGGCTTAGCGTTCCCGCGGCCCGGTCCTCGACTATGCCTCCTTTTTTAACATATCCAAAGAAAGCAGCTGTCTAACTCTCAGGTACCTGTTTACTACTAGGTCAACAGAATCATCAGGGGGAAAAGAGACTCTGCCCATTTGTTTCCGCCTTCGCCGAGAATCGAACCCTGAACCTTAGGATTACGAATCCCGAGTGCTGTCCACTCAGCCGTCAGGACCTACCATAGGCATGTAGAGGTCGGGCCCAAGGACAACATTATCAGGGAAAATAAGTTTGACTGGGGAGGTACAGCTGGAAAATTATAATGAAGGTGTCCTAAGGTTAACTCGGACTTAGAAATGTAAGAAATACCGGTATCGCTAGCGACCCAATCCACCCCTCAAGATTTTCGTGAATCGTGAAGTAAAGTCTGAAGTTGGTGATACTTTTTCATATACGCTTCGCCCTTCCTCTCACCTTACCTACAATATTTCTTACTGGAGGAGGGGTAATGTGGATGACCTCGACCAGCCTATGACAATCACATACTGCCCATGTGTCATCTTGAACAGTTGGGTGATGCTATCCCTGAGCGTCTGGCCTCGAGCCTTTGACATTCTCGTCCACAGATATATAATATATACATATTATATATATATATATATATATATATATATATATATATATATATATATATATATATATGTGTGTGTGTGTGTGTGTGTGTGGGGGTATGTGTGTGATTAATTTGTATTTATAAAATAATATAGGCTTTGTGTTTCATAATTACACAAATTTCATCACAAAAGCAAAATATACTTCCTTGCGAAAAGTATATATTATAACTTCTTCCAGATTATAGATTCAAAAGCACAGTTTAGCGTAAAAATAATATCTGTATATATTTAGGTAATTATTAATTATTATTTATTAAGTTCATGATTAGCAATTTAAAATTTCACAGAGGCATACAACAGAGACAAGTGTAATACTAATTCTTACCTTAGGTAACATCATTAATATACTGTTATACTATTACATGTGCTTGTACCTTGATGCTAAATATCCAATATATATATTGCTGGAATATAGTCCTCATCACTTATCATTCTTTCACTTAAGTTACTTTCAGGCGGCCTCCACACAAGCTGTGTTGCTGCTCCATGCTGCCACTACGGTCACTTGAGGGTGGAGCTGGCGGCCTCACGCTCTCATTGTCTTAGGCTTCAGAAATTCCATTGGTGTTGTTCATATTAACTTGTCCTCTTTCATCTGAAGGAGACAGTACACTTTGTGGTGAGTCTTTTACTGTTATGTGATTGTCTGCGTGTGGTCATAGCTGATCAATACAAACTATCTTCCAGAAAGATCATATTATCTTCCAGAAAGATTATATATATATATATATATATATATATATATATATATATATATATATATATATATATATATATATATATATATATATATATATATATATATATATAAAGACTGTAAAGCATGCATACAAAATTATTAAAAAAAAAACAGAGGCTAAACCTCTTAATTAGCTCTCTCATATTACTAGCAGCTATATTTCAACCCATCCTCTTGTTTAGATAGTAGTTTTAGTAGCTATGAATACCATAGTGCAACGATTGACGTACTATGCAATTAGTTAGCAGATTTTTTTACTATGTACTTTATAGTCCGAAAAAATAAGCTAAATAATATAAATATTCCTAGGCCTAGTATAGCACACGTATGTACTATATTAGGCCTAAGATATCGTGTATTAGGCCTTGGAAAGTTAGGTTAGTTTGTCTTTGCAACAGAAATATAAAATCTTTTCAGATTTGTCCAAATTCAATATTTTTTTTTTTTTTAATACATGAGGTACATCTGTATTTGTGCAGCTACCCTAGACTATATGAAGTGGAGTACAGTGTGTCAAAACAGCTAACTGCGTGATGCTATAAATTCAATAGTACCGCTTTCTACTTTCTAATTGCGTTGTACGTCGGCATATGTACTATACTCATCGTTACTATAAGTACTACCAAAACTGGAAAATGGGCTGCATATTTAGTATATAATAATAATTAGAAAATATACAGACAAATATGATAGTGGTTAATTAATTATTACAGAAAATATATTTAATGACGTCACCAATTCACAAAACATTTCGGGTGTAAATTATAAATAATTTAATTTAATTATTTTAGGGTTAATGAGGTAAACGGTTAATACTAAACGAGAACTAAACCAACATCAACTGTTCAGGAAAATTTAGCAAATGATGTGCAAATTTTAGGCAATAATGGTGAAAGGCCTAGATTAATTTATTATACAAGATGCAGTTATGGGTGAGTCTATTCGCAGACAGCTATTAATGGACTTCTTTTATTGCCGTGTTTACTGTCATTCAAAATACGTGGGTTAGCATTTGAGAAAATGTTGTGTCATCAGCAAATAAAATTGGCTTCAGGTGTTGAGTAACATTTGGTAGATCATTGATGTAAGTGAATAAGAGGAGCAGAGCAAGTATACTGCCCTATGGAACGCCATTGTTAATTGGCAGTGTGGGAGCTGTGGCCTCGTTCACAGAGGCCACAAAAAAATATCTAAAGTACTGAAGGGAGTGACCCATGGTTCAAGAGAAGTGCAGTTTGAGAGAAAAAACTAAATGACTGTGGTTACCGTGCAACCAGTCTTCCTGATAGAACCCCACATTTTGACGTATACCTTATGTTCCTTAGGTATTAGGAAATACCTGAAGCCAACATTTGTCATACTGGAAAATGGTCGCGGTTCGCGAAATAAATATACTCTCCCGTTTTGTGTTTTATGTCCTCTGGTAGGTTAGAATAAGGGCACCTTACCACGACAGTTTCTTGACGTTGGTGAAACCTTAGCTTGAGTGAAGTGAATAGGGATATAGTCAATTATGATTTGCACTCATCAGGTGTCGGTTAGACTAATTTTAATTATAAAGCGAGGGTTGCATTTAGTTTCGGCCTAAATGGTGGTGTAGATACTTCTTATTTGTTTTTAAGGTGATAACATATAAAATATTTACTGTAACATGTAAGAGTTTCATCTAAAAATGCCTCCCCCCCCCCTTTTATGTGGGGTGGAAAGATTAACAAAATAGAATAGTAATAAAAATTCTTAAAATAAAAGGAGTATAATATTACCCCCCAAAATTGCTAAAAATATGTATTTTTCATTTTGAGGGGGTAGCAAAAGCTTAACTCTTAAATATATTACTTTTCGTACATGACAAATATAAATGTCGTATAAGGAGAACGCAATCTTATACTAAATTTCTCTCTATATCAGTCTTAAGGCTTCCAATCGGGAAAAATGTTGAAAAGAAGTATTCTTTGTTAGAAAAGTACTCTTTTTAGACATTTTTTCTTGAGATAAGTTCTTCACATTTAGGCTTGCGATTATCTTTCCTTTATGCTTTAAGATATCCTTATTAATGCTGTTCTTTATAATATTGATATCCTGATAAATAAAAATAAGATACAGAAGAACTTAGACGCTAAAATCTTAAAGAAATGAAAAGAGGTAGCCTGATGTATATATGTATTTCTAAATATATAATATATATTTTAAATAAATCAATGGAAACTCCTATAAACTAGAACTATTTTAGCAATGTTTTAATAAATTAATTCACTGGGGGAGCGCAATCAGTCGAATCCTCTTAAAAATGGAATTATGAGAAGAATTCTTAACATAAGAGGGGCTGTTGAATTCTTTGTAATTATGTAAAAAAAATAATTTTGAGGAAGAGAGCGCAAGCCTGACTCTTCAATATATTATTTTACTTAAATAATAAAAATAAATATCGCATATGAAAGCACGATTTTATATTATAAGATCTCTATATTAATCTAAATTTTCATTAGAAAAATATTGAGGAAGATTTTCTTCCTCAATATTTTTAATCATGAATTTCTCTTCTTTAGGCTTATGACTCTATTCTCCTTATACTTTAAGATGTATCAGATGAAGCTCCTCATAATACTTTATGTAATTATGCAATAATGGAATGAAAGCTATAATATTAAAATTTAAGATGATATGAAATGAAATAATACAATTAATTATGAACATATCAACATGCATAAGTTTATATGAACATTAAATGTATATAGATGTGTATATAAGTATATTATATGCAGTTTAAATGTTTTTTATTGTAAGAGATAGGAGTAAGTTAGTAAAAGTGTGAAGGTGTTTTATTTTGAAGGTTGGGATTTGTGAATATATTTATGTATAATGGAGTTCCACCAAATCTTAGAAGATCAAAACTTCTTGTGCTATTAACACATGTACATATATGAAATTTGAACGGAATTAAACTGCTTAAGAAATAAGTTAGAAGCTTTTTCTTTGCCAATAAATTTCCTTAAAAGGAAATAATTTAAATTTTTCCATTAACAGTGGAATACCTCTATTTGGTTTCTACTAATATAATAATAATATCTTAAACCCTGGAGGAGTAGTTAATGACTAGAGGATTAGAATTTAGGTGAGCGGAGTTTTACAAAGTTGGTTTTTGCTTTGGACTTTGTTATATAATTATTTAGTATATATGTAAATTTTAGTGGAGTGTATTTTGCTTAAAGTGGGGGTAGAATGAGTGTGCAATACTTAATATTAACAATAGGGTAATTCTTGAGTTAGTAAATTATAGAAGGTTTGATAAAATCTTGCGCCAGCAGTTGCGGTTATACTTGGAAATTGAATGAAGTATATTAGTGAAAGTTAATAAAATAATTTTAAATGAGAGTTTATGCTTATAAAGAGTGAAATTTGGTAATGAAAAATATATAGTTTATTTAAGAGTTAAAGAAGTGAAGCTTAAAAAGTTATGGTATGGATTAGGATTAGATACCCTAGTACACTTAAATTTAATTTATAAGCACAAGAATATTACAAGTTATGTTCTTTAAGTTAAAAAAAAAATTGGCGGTGTTTTAGTCTAGTCAGAGGAACCTGTTTTATAAACGATACAACACGCATTATTTTACTTGTTACAGAAAATAAGTTGTATTCCGTCATTATAAGATAATTTAGGAGAAAATATTATTATCATATTAGATCATTATCATATTAGATCAAAGTGCAGCTTATGAATAAGTAAATATGGGTTATAATAAAATTTATTTAATATGAATTAATTGTTTAAATATATTCATTATGGAGGATATAATTGTAAGAGAAGGAGTAGTGAGATTTTCAGAAAAAAGCTCTAAATTATGTACAATTATGTAAATTCTGTACTGTGACAAAAGCCTTACGCTGGTTAACAAATAGACCCATAGGGTACTAATTTTTCTCAATAGCTGCTTATATCAAGTCAAGGATATTAATTAAAGAATCGTTGATTATTTCGGGACTATAAAACTTGATTGTTAAGAACTCAGTATATTATGTTTATCTAGGAGGGAGTAAAGATGTTTGTACATTACCTTTTTCAAACATTTTGCGCTAGGTGGGCAGGCTTGATAATGGTCTAAAGTTGTTAATGTCAGTGACAGCACCACTTTTATGGAGTGGAAATATTCTAGCCAATATAAGAATATAAGGAAATGTTCGGAGTTAGTGATTTATCGTAATGTTATGGCCGAAGTGTTCGTGAATGTTTGTGCTCCTTCTACAGTCCCCGTGGTGCAGTGGTAAGACACTCGCCTGGCGTTCCGCGAGCGCTTTGTTATGGGTTCGTATCCTGGCCGGGGAGGATTTACTGGGCGCAAATCCTTAACTGTAGCCTCTGTTTAACGCAACAGTAAAATGTGTACTTTGTTGTAACAACGATTCATTGCGGCGGGGATCGTATTCCAGGGACCTGCCCGAAACGCTACGCGTACTAGTGGCTGTACAAGAATGTAACATAGAGCAAATATTTAGAATGAAGCATTGATTTACGTTGTAAAACGACGCGGTAAACTTACCTGCAGAATATAACGTGTTGCTGAAGCTCAAAATTCCAGGTTGTTGAACTTTCTTTGACTTCTGGACGAAGCTGTAGCCAACGAAGCTCACGGCCGCCATCAGGAAGAGGACGGCGATGACGATACCAGCCACGCCACCTGCACCCAGACCTCCGCCACCTGTGTGAGGGTAGGAGGAGACTTTAGACATGTGTGAGGTGAGGAGGGGAGGGGGTTCTGGACATGTGTGAGGTGAGGAGGGGAGGGGGTTCTGGACATGTGTGAGGTGAGGAGGGGAGGGGGTTCTGGACATGTGTGAGGTGAGGAGGGGAGGGGATACTGGACATGTGTGAGGTGAGGAGGGGAGGGGGTTCTGGACATGTGTGAGGTGAGGAGGGGAGGGGGTTCTGGACATGTGTGAGGTGAGGAGGGGAGGGGGTTCTGGACATGTGTGAGGTGAGGAGGGGACGGGGTTCTGGACATGTGTGAGGTGAGGAGGGGAGGGGGTACTGGACATGTGTGAGGTGAGGAGGGGAGGGGGTTCTGGACATGTGTGAGGTGAGGGGGTTCTGGTCATGTGTGAGGTGAGGAGGGGAGGGAGTTTTGGACATGTGTGTGGTGAGGTGGGACTGGATATGTATGAGTTGAGGGGGGTTCTGGACATGTGTGAGGTGAGGGGGGACTGGACATGTGTGAGGTGAGGGGGGGACTGGACATCTGTGAGGTGAGGGGGGACTGGACATGAGTGAGGAGGGACTAGACATCTGTGAGGTGAGGGGGGAACTGGACATCTGTGAGGTGAGGGGGGGCTGGACATGTCTGTGGTGGGGGGGGGGGTCTAATCAGGAGTGAGGTGAACGGGGATGTCAAAAAAAAATCTAACTTCATATGGTTATAATTAAATTTACTATATTCATATTTCATTTTATTTTGTTTTAATCAGGTTTCATAGCATAAGATGATTAAAAACCTACTTTTTTATGAGGAAACGTATGAGGCAGAGCAGTAATATATATGTTAGCTAGGTGCAGCCTACCTCTGCCTGGAGAGTGAGTGGTGACAGCTGGAGTAGGTTTGTTATTGCTCGTTGGGTCATGGTCTTGGACTGCGAAGGAGAAGTAGTAATGAATATCCTTCACCAAACACCCCAATTATGTCACTATATTGATTTAGCTTGTGCTATAGGCCATATTAGAGGATAAAATTGTATTCGAAGTTATGCAAAATAAACAGTGTAACACAATTACTTTTTAATATTTTACAGATGGAATATCTTAGGTTTGAGCAGATGCCATCGTTCCAGAGGCCAGAGGTCTGGCTGACCTCTGTGCACTGCTCCTCCTCGCTGCTAGGCTGACCATCTTGCCAATTGGTGAAGTCGAAGCCAGTGCCATCACTCCAGCCAAAGTCTCCTGTGATGAAATTGTCGCAAATCACTATTTGCTTGATGCTTCTAACAAAGAAAGACTTTTACCCAATTGATTAGACTTTCCTTCACTGCAGAACCATTTACCTCAAAATATCTCATTGACCAAATATAAAATAATTGTATCATTCCCAACACAATATATAGGACTGAAAGTGTTCAGGGTGAATCTATATGTTGTCTTAATACCTTTTATTCTCTTCCCCGAGGCTATGAGTCACCATAATAATATATTAATATAAAACAACTAAATAAGTAAGTAATTATCAAAAGAAGGCACCAAGCCAGGAAGGCTGTGAAGCACCATCATATGTGCGGGTTAATCATTGGGCACTACATATCGTCTCGAGCCACGCCTCAGGGATTGACGACCACTCCCAGATACGGTTATACAGATTCAGTAAATACTGAAACGCCCATGGAGGGAGATGGCGGAGCATCTCATAATGTCATCTGAGCCCGCTGCCGTAGAACCGTAGAGAGCCAGAGCAGACTGAAGTTCGGAGATAGAGAAGGGACCGTTATAGGGAAACTAGAGATGAGTGCAAAAATCTAAGGGACAAGATTCGAGAAGGGGCTTATGAATAAGGAAAAATGGGGGAAGATGAGATCCGGAGCTAACATTCGAAAAGTGCGAACCCTGTTCGGTCGTGACCGACACTGGATCTGCCACAATAGTATCATAAAGGTGAATGACTGGCGAGAAATCTGGAAAAATGTTACCAGCTATCATGGAGATTTTCTTCCAGATTTGGGTCAGAGGAGTATTGGTCGTAATGGTGGAGACATAAGATTTCCAACTCTCATGTTTAACCATATTGGTGGTCCTACGGGCCACCGCACTCGCTTCCGAAACAAAATAAAAAAATCAGCAGTCTGCCGGCGACTGTGTTTCTTCCCAGCTGCACGCTTACAGTGGACAGCCACAGTCTGTACTCCAGCAGGAAGCGCACTTTCGCGTGCCCCGGGAGATAGAGTGAGGAATAGAGTGGAGGGCAGCGTCTAATATAGTGTCATGAAAAAGGAGGGCTCGACGGAGAAGCAGAGCAGAGAGGTCGGAAAGAGTAGCTTGGAGGGGGAATAGATTCCAGTCAGCCTTCTCTAGATGGCATTCTGCCACCTAGGGAAGGGGGAGGGGAAAGTAAAAAGAAAAAAAGGTGACCAGGATGGGGAAATGGTCATTGTTATGGAGGTCATCAAGAACCCACCTTGTGAAATCTAAATAAAGAGAAGACAAGCAGAGAGAAAGATATAGACAGGAGAAGGTGCGAGTGCAGGAGTCAACATGAGTGGGTTCAACAGAATTCAGAAGATACAGAAGAAGAAGAAAGGACAAATGGGCCGCAGAAAATTGAATGGGCGACTGAAAAAGTAGGGGGACAAAGGAAATATCAGTACGAATCAAGAGAGCAGTAAAGGTATGGGCGCCAGCAAAAGCTGGAGGGTAGGAGAGAAAGAAATAACCACGGAAGTGATAAGGATGAGCACCAAGCATCGGCTCCTGAAGACAGACACAGAGTGGTGAAAACTGTGTTATCAGTAGTTGGAGTTCAAGGAAGGTGGCATAAAATCCTTGATTATTCATTTGAAAAATAGACATTGGCAAAATAAAGATAACAGAAACAGACTACAAGGTAGAAATAAAAGCAATGAAACAACATAGTGTACTAAGGAATATCAGGATCAGGGTCAGTGAAATCGGGGTTACGAGGCATAGATAAATCTAACAAGGATGATGGATCAAGGGAGCAGTAGGATGGACCAAAGGCGAACGGACACAGTCTGGAGTAGGAGGTGGTAATGGAGAGGGGGAAACAAGGGGGTGCACCTCATCAAGGGGCAGCAACCGAGAGAGAATCGAGGAGCAAGGGAACCTCCATAGCTAGGACAGGAGACTCGACCACCTAAATGGGAGAAAGAAGGAGAGGAGCCAAGCTTACGTTTCTGAGTAAAATAGACAGGCATACCAGCCACAACATACTGGGCGACAGCTCCTTAGACTCGACAGGAGGAGAACGGGAGCGATCAACACGAAGATTGCCGGGAGGAGGATGGACAACACCTCGAACAGACAGGCGGTGAGGAGGGCCAAATTACAAATGACGGTGAAGAAGGATTGGGGGAAGAAAAGAAAGAGGGCACAGAAGACCGGAAAGACTAAGAAGGAAGGAAGGAAACACCAGACGGAGAACCAGGTGGGAAACCCTATGGCTCAGATTGTAAAGGAGCAGGTAAGGTGGTGGTGGGGGTGTGCAGGCCGAGAAACCTGGAAACGGTTGCGGGACTAAGAAAAGTGGAGAGGGCGAGGAGAAGTGGAAGCTCCAGGTGATGAGGTGGTCATCAACAGGGGCTTGAGACTCAAGCCACAGTCTGTGAGTCTGCCACAGAAGTGGGAGGGGAGCCGAGAGGGGGTAGTTGGGAGGGTAAAAGAAGCAGCTTGGTCTGGGCCCAATGGAGCGGGGGCTACATTGGGCCCAGACTTCCATTACAGTCTGACTCCAGTGTCTGGTTGCCCGCCCGTAGAGCCTGGGAAGTTAAAATGAGGGTCAGTCTGAACTGAACACTCTCTCACATTCACTCTCACTCTCTCTCTCTCTCTCTCTCTCACACTCACTCACTCTCACTCTCACTCTCACTCTCTCTCTCTCTCTCTCTCTCTCTCTCTCTCTCTCTCTCTCTCTCTCTCTCTCTCTCTCACCCTTCCTCTTTGCCCTCCCCCCCCTCCCCTGGCTAACCCTAAAATGGCGGGGAAAAGCACCAAGGGAACAGGGAAAAGTAAAAATAATCTAATGAAGAAAATGTTAGCCCAAGTTTGGGAGGAATTGAGGAAGGAGACGCATGAAATGAGGAATGCAATAAACAACCTGCAAAGTGAGCTGGCAGCAGCAAAGGAGATCAAATCCCTCACAGAGAAAAATAATGAGGCTGAGCATCAAATAATCATCCAAAGGGATGATGGAAATGGTGCATTCGAAGGAAATGCCTCTGTACATGAAACATTTGCAGAAATACTGAGAAAGAGCTCAGAAACAATGGCCACAGTGAGGGAGGTAGCCATGCAAGCAGCTACCTCACAGCAAGGTGCACCAGTCAGCTGCTGGAAAGAAAAAGATCATTGGTAGCTGTAGGCATCAAATAACAGAAAGGCTCCAATAGGCAAGAATGGAATAGTAAGGACAGAGAGGCAGTAAATGGAATACTAAAAGGATTAAAAATGGACGGGGCTGAAAAAACATTAAGAAGATTTTCAGGTTGGGCTGGTACAACAAAGGCAGAGACCGCCTGATAAAGATTGTGTTTGCAAATGAGACCACGAAGGTGGCTGTTCTTGAAAGGAAGATGTTCTAGATCTGCAATATGTGGAAGAATACAAAAAAGTATTCCTCCAGTGGGACAGAACAAAGAAGGAAAGAGTCACGGTGGCAGAGGCAAGGAAGAAGCACAAGGTGAGAGGAGAAAACAAGGAAATCATAGCCCCCAGCACAACATTCCCAGAACGAGAGGGGAACCCACAACCAGCAACACCAGAGGGGAGGGCAACATCACAACCCACTTCTGCTTAGAAACCCTCCCTACCCCTCATTCTCTCTGCCCCCACTCAAATCCTCAATCAACCCGGTCGGTCGGTCGGGGGACCCGGTCGGCCGAGCGGACAGCACACTGGACTTGTGATCCTGTGGTCCTGGGTTCGATCCCAGGCGCCGGCGAGAAACAATGGGCAGAGTTTCTTTCACCCTATGCCCCTGTTACCTAGCAGTAAAATAGAAGGTTTGAGAGCTGACTAACCTGGGTGTTAGTCAGCTGTCACAGGCTGCTTCCTGGGGGTGGAGGCCTGGTCGAGGACCGGGCCGCGGGGACACTAAAAAGCCCCGAAATCATCTCAAGATAACCTCAAGATAAGATAACCCTCCCTCCCCCCCCTTCACCCAATACCGACCCTGTCACCCCTCCCTCATTCCCACATGTCCCCCTCTCCTTCCTTTCCCTTTCCCCTTCTTCCCATACCCTCCCTGTCCTCCCTTCCCTTGACCCCCAACCCCTCACCCCGGTATCATCTGAGACCTTGTTAACCACCTCTCAAATAGTCACACCTATGGAAGAGCTTCCTCCAGCAGCAGAACACTCACCAAGAAGGGGACAAGAGAATGAATACAAGAAAGTGAGATTCAATTCAATGAACACTAATACAGATGTGATTACAAATAAAACAAGTGATATTGGACAATGGGCACTAGAAGAAAACCCAGACATAATAGCACTCACAGAAACAAAGATAAGGAAAACCATAACAAATGCAGTGTTCCACAGAACTACTATGTAGTGAGGAAAGAGAGAGAGGAGGAGGTGGTGTAGCTCTGCTGATAAGAAAAAGCTAGAGATTAGAAAAGATGGTTATTCAGGGCTGTGAAGATTTCAGTGACTACATAACAGGTACTGTAGCAACTGGAGGACAACAAAATTATAGTAGTAGTCATAATTAACCCCCGACCAAACGATAGAAGACCCAGACAGGAATATGATATAAACATGGCCACCAATCTATGTAAATAAAAATGTAAATGTTCGGTTGTTTAAAATCGCTAATCTCTGAAAGTTCTTCACCGATTGCTTTGAAATTTTCACACAACGTTCCATTTGCATCCGACCAGGTTTTTATGTACATACTATATAGATGTCTTGTCTGTGACGGGAAAAAAAACATGCTTTGTTTTAAAAACTGTGTTTTTCATGTACGGGAAATCTTTGAATCCTTTTTACCGATTGCTTTGAAATTTTGACACAACGTTTAATTCAAATATGCGGGTGTTTCTATATACCTACTATATAGATGCCACATCTGTGACAGGTAAAAACATGTTTTTTTTTCAAAAGTTGCACCATCTGTTGCACGTGATAGCAACACACACACTATTCTAAACATGTTGTCATGAATTCCATTTCAATGTTTCTGATTGCATTGATAAATTTAATTTTCATAGATTTCGA